CGACCTGCTCAGTGTCAGCAGGCAGCTCAAGAGGTTGCAGGTGGGTTTGGAGGGGACATAAGGTTATGGGTGGACACCAAGTGTTGGGGGGATACGAGGTTATTGGAGGACATCAGGTGTTGGGGGGCATCAGGTGTTAGGGGGCACCAGGTCTTGTGGGGATACCAGGTCTTGGGGGGACATTGAGTGTTGTGGGGACACCAGGTTTTGGGGGACACTAGGTTATGGGGCTACACCAGATGTAGGGGGGACACCAGGCTATGGGGAACACCAAGTGCTGGGGGGACACCAGGTTATGGGAGGACACCAGGTGTTGGGGAACACTGGGTGTTGTGGGGACACCAGGTTATTGGAGGACATCGTGTGTTGGGGGGCACCAGGATATTGGGAACACCAGGTCTTGTGGGGACACCGGGTGTTGTGGGGACACCAGGTTATGGGGGTGCACCAGGTGTTGGGGAGACATCAGGTGGTGGGGGACATTGAGTGTTGGGGAGACACCAGTGCTCAGCCCCAGTTGCGACAGGGGCTCAGCACCACCAGCCCATCTTGGTGCTGACTCACGGCCAAGATTCCCCGGCATTGCCGGCATGGCACAGCCAGCACAGCACTGCTACCCCCTCCGGCCGGTGCCGGGGATCCCGGTGAGGGGGGTGTCTCTCTCACCCCGGTTCCCCCCTCCCACCCTCCGCAGACGATGGAGTCACAGGTGGAGGAGTGGTACAAGGAGGTGGGTGAGCCGGGCAGCGCCGCGGCCCGCGCAGGCAGCGGGCAGGCAGACAGTGGGGGAGCGGCAGAACGCGGTGGGGACCCGCATCGTCCGTCTCATCGAGCCCCTCAAGGAACGTCGGAGAATCCTGTTGGCTTCCAAGGAGGTTCATCAGGTCAGCCACGAGCTGGAGGACGAGGTGGTGAGTACATGGGGATGGAATTGGGATGGGGTGGGTCAAGTTTGGGGACAGGGATGACGCTGAGGTCCATCCCACCACCGTCCCCCCCAGCTGTGGGTGCAGGACCGGCTGCCCTTGGCCACGTTGAAGGACCATGGCACCAACCTGCAGACAGTCCAGCAGTTCATCAAGAAGAACCAGGTCAGCCCCGGTGCAGCAAAGGGTTGGGGGACTACCCCCACCTCCTCTTCACCCCAGAACCTCCGCCGGGAGATCCAGGTCCATCGTCCTCGTGTGGACGAGGTGCTGGAACGTGCTGGAGCCGTCGCCTCCATCAAGAGCCCCGAGGCTGAAGGGGTCCGACGTCTTCTGGAGCGGTTGGGGACCATGTGGGGGGAGCTGCAGGAGCAGGCAGAGCGCAGGCAGCAAACCTTGGATGCCACCTACCAGCTGGAGCAATACTACTTCGATGTGGCTGAGGTGGAGTCGTGGCTGGGCGAGCAAGAGCTGCTGTTGATGAGCGAGGAGAAAGGGAAGGTGCTGATGGGGTGGCTTGGGGCAGGAGAGCTGTTAAGGAACCCCCAGCATCTCACCACCCCAATATTCCCCCCCCACCAAGGATGAGCAGAGCACCCTACAACTCCTCAAGAAGCACCTCCTGACGGAGCAAACGGTGGAGAACTACGAGGAGACCATCGCCCAACTCTCCCGACAATGCCGTGCCCTTCTAGAGCTTGGCCATCCTCAAAGGTGGGTGCAACCCCTCCATCACCTACCCACTCCCCCCGAACCCCCATCCACCCACCCTTGGGGTCTTTGGCGTTCACCGGGCGCTGTGTCCCTTGCCCAGCGAACAGGTCAGCAGGCGGCAGTCGCAGGTTGACCGGCTGTACGTGTCTCTGAAGGACCTGGTGGAGGAACGCAAGGCCAAGTTGGAGCAGCAATATTGGCTCTACCAGCTCAACCGCGAGGTGGACGAGCTGGAGCACTGGATTGCTGAGAAGGAGGTGGTGGCTGGCTCACCGGAGCTGGGACAGGATTTCGAGCACGTCACGGTTAGTTGGGGGATGCGCCAAGGAGGGAGGGGTCTTGTCATTGTACATGGTCTGAAGGTCCTGGAGTTGTCTCCATCCTGTGCCCGGGAGTCTTGCAGTTGTTCCTACCCCATGCCGGGGGGTGTCTTGTGGTGGTCCCTGCTTCATGCGAGGGGTCCTGGGCACTGTTCCTGCCCAATGTGGCCGACATGGCACTGCCCGTCCCTCACCCTTGTCCATCCCTGCCCATCCCAGCTACTCCAGGAGAAATTCCTGGAGTTTGCCAGCGAGACGGGCAGTGTTGGGCAGGAGCGGATCGCCGCTGTCAACCAAATGGTAGATGAGCTGATCGACTACGGGCACGCCGACGCTGCCACCATCGCTGAATGGAAGGATGGGGTGAACGAAGCTTGGGCAGATCTTCTGGAGCTGATGGAGACCCGGGCACAGATGTTGGCAGCTTCCCATGAATTGCACAAGTTCTTCAATGATTGCAAAGAGGTTTTGGGGCAAATCGAGGAGAAAAGGCAACGCCTGCCTGAACTGGCAGCCCGTGAGGGCAGGACGTCGGCCGGCGCCTTGCAACGGGCATTGGGTGCCTTCGAGCACGACGTGGAGGTGTTGGTAACCCAAGTCCGGCAGCTACAAGAGGGCGCGGCACAGCTGAGGACCCTCTATGCCGGGGACAATGCCGAGGCCATCGCCGGAAGGGAGCAGGAGGTGCTACGGGCATGGAAGGAGCTCTTGGCGGCCTGCGAGGAGTGCCGGCTCCACGTTGCCAGCGTCGCTGATAAGATCCGTTTCGTCGGCACTGTGAGAGACCTTCTTGCCTGGATGGATGGTGTCCTCTGCCAGATCGGCGCTGGAGAGAAACCCAGGTAGCGGGAGATGTGGGATGATGTCCTGCATCCTGTGCTGGCCCCAAGAACCGTGTCCTGGCCCATCCATGGTGCCAAGAACCCGTGTCCTGGCCCATCCATGAAACCAAGGAAGTCCTGTCCCATCTGGAGGACCCATGTCTCATCCCATACCAAGGACCCATGTCCCATTCCCACCCATGAAGCCGAGGAATTGTGTCCAGTTCCATCTGGAGGCCCTGTGTCCTGTCCCATCCCAAGGACCTGTGTCCCATCTTATCCATAGCACCAAGACCTGTGTCATGTCCCACCTGGAGGTCCCATGTCCTTTCTGATCCTGAGGACCCATGTTATGTCCCATCCACGGAGCCAAGAACTCGTGTCTTGTGCCATCCTGAGGACCTGTGTTTTGTCCCAGTTGTGGCACCAAGGAAGTCCTGTCCCATCTGGAGGACCCATGTCCTGTCCCACTTGTGAAGCCAAGGACCCGTCTCCTGTCCCATCCCAAGGACCCGTGTCCTCTCCCATCCATGAAGCCAAAGAAGTCCTCTCCCATCTGGAGGACTCATGTTCTGTCCCATCCATGAAGCCAAGAACCCATCTCCTGTCCCATCCCGGGGTGGGAAGAACCATCCCCATCTCCTCCCACCCTCCCAGCCATGATCCCCACTCGTAGGGACGTCTCCTCAGTGGAGCTGCTGATGAACGACCACCAAGGTCTCAAGAGCGAGATTGAAGCCCGCGGCAAGAGCATTGCCGCCTGCCTGGAGCTGGGCAAGACCCTCATCCTCAGCAAGAGCCCGGCGGCCGATGAGGTGCCAGGAGGGTGTTGGAGATGGGATGGGATGGAGAAGGGATGGGGATGGGATAGGAATGGGATGGGATGAGATGAGATGGGGTAGGATGACGTGGGATGGGGATGGGGATGGGATGGGATGGGATGGGATGGGGGGGCTGCAACTGTTTGGTGGTCCCAACCCATGTCCTCCATCCTTGCCAGATCAAAGCCCATGTGGAGAAGCTGCTTGCGAAGAAGAAGGAGATGATGGAGAAGTGGGACAAGCACTGGGAATGGCTGCAGCAGAGTGAGTCTCACCTGAGGACGGGGGTAATTTTGGGAGGGAGGGTCAGATCCATCGCCGTTACGGGGATGGGATGCTCTCTGGGGGTACTTCCACGAGCGCATCCTTCCATCCTGCCCCCTCCCCGTCCGTCTGTCCGGCAGTGCTGGAGGTGCACCAGTTTGCCCAGGAAGCGGTGGTGGCCGACGCTTGGCTGACGGCACAGGAGCCCCTCCTGAAGAGCCAGGAGCTGGGCAGCAGTGTGGACGAGGTGGAGCAGCTGATCCGGCGGCACGAGGCTTTCCGTAAGGCAGCCGCCGCTTGGGAGGAGAGGTTCAGCTCCCTGAGACGGCTCACCACGGTACGGGCTCCTTGCGGGGGGGAGTGATGTCACCCCCCGGCCCGTTCATGTCCCCCCCTGCTGCCCTGGGGCCACTGCAGCTGCTGGCTCAGCATCCCCATCCCTGTACCATCTCCATTGCATTCCCATCTCCATCCCTGTCCACATCTCCATCATCTCCATCTGATCCCATCCCCATCTCCCTTCCCCATCCCATCTCCATCTCTGTCCCTGTCCCCATCCTCATCTTCCCCATGCCATCTCTATCATCTCCATCTCCATCCCATCCCATCCCCATCTTCACCTCCATCCCTGTCCCCATCCCCTTCCTCATCCTCCCTATCCCATCCCCACAGATCGAGAAGCTGAAAGCGGAGCA